TGTTGTTGTGTCGTCAGGTTGTGAGCTCGCCCAGCAGATATACAGCCAGTGGGGGAAAGCCTGCCTTAAAGCTTATTTTGGAGCAAAGTCCCCCAACCGTTTTCATCAGATGTGATCCGGCCTGTAGTGCCGGTGTTTAAGTAGCAGAGCACACCATGTGTTCAGTGAAGTTGTGGCTCATTTCTAAGGTCTCAAAGCCACGTTTACAGACATTATTCAACTGCAAGTGACTCAAATGTTTTATGAATAGTTCACAAAGTCATCCTGCTAGAACTTGTTTACAAAAAAGAGCAGCTTAACACTCCCGTCTAGAGGATTATGTCTATATTGTCTCAGTATTTTGTTTTCACTCAAATGACTATTAAATGGCTTAATTAGGCCTGTTTTGCAAGTAAATGTGTCGCAGCCCGACTTTAGGCCACAACGCTGATGGACTGTAGTTATAATAGAGATGAATGCGGTACACGTGCATAAATAAAGGATTCATATGAGTTTTAAATTATTTTACTGTATTATTGTTATTATTGCGTTGACTGATTGCTGGATCTTCTAGTGCTTGAAAATGTTGTGAATTGTGAATAATCTGTTGGAGAAAAAAGGCTGGAAAGAGTGTGTTGTATGTTGGTGGTTCTATACAGGCTCTTTTTATGTTCCAGCGACAATTATAATTAAACTTATGACTCTCCTTTCATTGGTTCAGATTAGAGCCTGGTCTTGTCAGCCAGGACGGCTTTACCAACATGGCTGCAAAGCGGCAAACCCTAAAAGATGTAACTCTGTGTGCTGCGTTTTGTTTAAGCTGAACAACATGCATGTGTGCTTGTGCTCACTCTGTGGAAGTCGTGGATTATATCGGCGGGGTCGCTGCCTCCAAAGTGAGGCACGGGCACAGTGATCTTCTCGTAGTTGTCGGCCAAGTAGATGCCGACGTTTTCCTCCAGCTCCTGACGCCCACGCAGCGGGGCGTACACCGAGTCTTCATAAAGCACACTGCAGCGGAACAGGTTCTCCTCTGGGATCTGCACACACAAAGCCTTTAGATCAACACACAAGCTCCAAAACAAGGCTTCACTCAAAATTTCCTTTCTGCAGAGCAGCAATTTGAATAAAAAACAAAAAACAGGACACATTTTCATTTGTGAGTTTCAGTGTTAGATGCAAAACACTGTACAGCACAATGAGGCCTTACATGAGGTATGAAGTAGTAGCGGTAGACGTAGATGGAGGCCAGGACCAGACCGGCCATGAACACCACCAGGCCAAAGGTCAGGCAGCACAGCCCGTTGAGTGGAGACTTCTTGGGCCGCAGCGGCAGGACCAGCTCCTCCTCATCCTGGAAAACATACAATATTAATACTAAAAAGGTCACAGAAAAGGCAGCTTCAATCCAGCTTACTCATCTTCAGTGGCAGAAAATGATCTGAATGAACCAACCGCTAAAACAGAAGCTGACAAAAAAAGGTGCATTTTGAGCAGGAATTAGCAGCAGCAGTGAGCCGGGCCAGAGGAAGGGATGACGGAGAGCCCGGTAATGAAAACTTGACTGAGATGGTGAGTAATCTTCCCAGACGCCTCCAGTCTTGCAGCCCATCTGCTGGTGCCACGCGCCCAACCTGTGTTGGCAGGGTGGCACTACGCACAGGCAGTAGCCGCTCAGTGTGCGTTTCCATCTCCCACAACAATGACTAACAGAAGTGGCTGAGCGCTGTGCTGGAGCTGTGCTGCTCCGCTGATCGAGGCAGGTAAAATTATCTTGTGCAAAGCCGGCTCTGTAGACAAACAACAAAGGGTTTCTATTCTTAGCTGGAGCTCAGAAGGAAACAAAAAAAGAACTACTGTGTGCATAGGAATCAGCTCTTGGAGGAAACTTCAAAGAAATCCTGTGTGAACAATCATTTTAAAAGGGAGATGACACAAAAAGCCTGAAAGCAGCACCTTTGTCTCACAGTGTCCTGGGTGCCAATATCAGAACGGAGTGTTTTGCCGCGGAGGCAGGATTTCAGGTTTCATGCTGTTCTTTGCTGAAGCATTTGGAGACGGAGGGTGCATGAGGACAAGGAGACACCAGAGTACGTGAGAACACACTCTTCTGTGAGCTCTTTGTGTTCTTCCACCCCACTGAGAGAGAGATGGAGGCTCGTTCACACCGGCTGAGAGCCTGACACACCACGAGGCCCGTCTGTCTCCTGGTGTGCACGTTGGGGTGAACACATTTCAAAGTCACACTGCAGGTCTGTACTTCTGCAATGTTCACCTCATACGACGCCTGATGTCCTGTCTCTATTTTCCAGTGTGGCTCATCATCATCACCATCATCAGGGCTCAGCCATGTATCTTTGATAAGCTGGGATGCTGCCACAGCAAAGTTCAGGACTCCACTGCTGTACCTCCTTTAAAGCTGTGACAAATGATCTTGCATGCACTGCAAGCCACAGCAGCCCATCTGCCATTTTGTCAGCCAAAGCTCTGCATTTCTTGCATTCTGCCTGTTTTTTTTTTAAGCTGGAGAGGTTGTTCATTTAAACCAGCACTGAGGGAAAAAAACGCCAGAGGCCACATCACCAATAAACCCAAATGCAATCCAAAATGTTTCCTTTTCCATTATTTTGGTCATGCAGAATGCATTCTTGAACAAAGAGCATGCATCTGCACGTACTAATAACTTGCATCCAGCCTGCAATGAGCGCACTGACGCAGAGGAAACCATCACAGCAATGACATGTTTTGTTTCCAACCAAATGGCGATGGACGGAGTCGCGGCGCTGCTGATGGCCGAGCAGGTGCAGCCTGTCCCGGACACAGCAGCGCCTGCACCAGGGTCATCCCCACACAGCAATGACAGCGTGAACAACAGGAGCAAAGGAGAGGAAGGGACGCACCAGCGGGTGAGGGATGAGGATTTCGGTCTTGTCGCCATCATTCTCTTTCTCCACTTTCTGTCCCGCGACAGACTGGAAGCTGATCTTGACCATGGCTCGGCTCGGCTCGGCTCGGCTCTGCTCAGTCCGCTGCAGGTGCGTCTCTCTCCGGTGTGTGAACGCTCGTTGCCACCTTCTTCAAACGGATCCCCTCCGCTGCTGACGGGCCGCCCTCTCTCTGCTCTCACCGCTGGGCTGCTTCTGTTTTTGTCTCGATCCACCGGATGTGTGCTGGTTGGCTTTTTCTTTTTCTTTTTTTTCTTTCTTTTTTTTTAAGCTGCCTCTTAAAGGACCAGTCCGCTGCTTTGTCTGCTCATGTTCAGGGGCGTTCACTGGTAGATGGGAGGAGATATGAATCGTTATTCATTTAAAAAGTTACACAGAGGCCAAGAAAGACAGAAACATCCACTTTCAAACACTGACATGACATTTCTATACTGCCCATATTACTATTATTTACTGTGCTGGATCACTGGGTGTATTTTCCCTGATCATAACTACCATCTATTAATCCCTTTCCATGATTTTAACCCTTTAAATGGCGGTTTGTTTACATGAGGTCACAACAAATAAGCAGTTTTCCAACTCAGTTTCTCTCTTTTTTTGTGTAGTCAGATTTTAAAACACACTAAAGACCTTAAAGATTAAAGTGTGTTTTAAATTATTAATATTATTTTAAATAGCACCTATTCATTCACCTCCATGATGTTTGTTCACATCGCAAGAGCTGATTTTTTAGAATTATTTTTTATTTTATCATTACAAAAGGTGTTCAGTGGAATATTTTTATAATTATTCTTATTAATGGTGAGCAGCAACATTGCTTCTGATCGATTCTTTCTTTGCTGTGCGGTCAGGAAGGTTTTTTTTATTTTTTTAAGTCAGAAGCTTGAAGACAAAAATGTCAGCATTAAAAGAAACTGCCATGAAGATGCTCTGACTGGCGAATCAACACACATACAAACCTGATTCAGTCTTCTGTTTGGGGACGTGACCGCTTCAAATGTGCATCTTTTCACATCAATGACAATCATTAAACTATAAGCCCCCAGACTTTATTCACTTGTATGCATTTCTGCTCATGTTCACAACTTTCTGCACATTCTG